ATCCCTGAATGAGGGAATTTATTTTCTATAACAGCTTCAAAGGACAGTGCTGGTTCTCACCTTTCCCACTTGCAGCAGCATCTTGCCCAACACCAAAGGAGCAGGAATAGCCGTGCTCCCCAGGGAGAGCCCGAGACTGAGCTGAGATTAAAGGGAATCATCTCTGCCCTTTGAGCTGCAGTTCCCTGGGTTAGCTGCTCCATGTGAATGCCAGACCCAGCTGTGCCCCCTAAGGTGCCAAACCATCCCCGTGCCTTTGAAGTGCTTTCTTAAAATGAATGTCTCAAACCAACAGGTGAAAGAGTTGGCTAATAATGCCTTTATCGAATAATTGGTTATTATTTCACCTCTTTCCTTTTGCTTGATCCCAGATGAGAACCATAAACATCTTTTCCAGTGTATTAGCATTGCGTAGAATGATTTCAAGAAAGATTCTGCATTTCTTGCTAAATCAAATAGTTTTATTTTTAAAAAAATGGAAAAAAGTGGGTCAGCATGTAAAATAATAATGCACTGAGGCTTGGTTCAGACAAATTTACTTTGCCTCAACATCTCAAGGGGTTCTCTCTCTGAGGGCACATTTAAGCTTTAAAATGAGAAATGGAGGCTTGTGACTAATTGCCTTCAAACAGAGGAGTGTAAACATGACTTCTGAGATGTTCAGTGCTTTCACATGATCACAACAGACAAACTCCTGGAAGCCTGGAGGTTTCCAATAGCACAGGAAGGAAACAGAAAAACCCAAAGTGTACACAGCATGAAATTCCAGAAGTACCCAGGGTAAATATGTTTGCAGCTGATCACTACCCACCTGTCTCAGAAGCAGAAATGGAGTTCAACCCTGCTGTTTCAGAGTTAAATGAACATATTCCACCTGCCCAACAAGAGATATCCTAATGTATTACATCAGCACCAACAAACCCGAGTGAACAGACGAGTTTTAGGGCTGAGTAATTATTCTCAGAAAGCAATTTTGGAACATAAAAGCATCACCTTTCTCCCCTCCCTCCTGTTTCCTTCAATAATAAGACCAGCAATAAAGAATGAATAGGAGAAATCTTTTTTTGCTTAGAATTCACATAAACAAATAATGCACTGGGTTGCCACTAAAATCCCCAACATCCAGCCTAGCCCAGCCCTTCACCCACTGGGCCTGTCCAGCTCTGAAAACATCACCCTTGAGTAGATTCCATTCTCAAATCTGATTTCTGCAATCTCTTTCTTGTTTTTATTTCATAGTGACAAAGTGAAGTTCATGTGATTCCCACAGGATGGGATGTGACAAAATGTAAAGGGATTTTTTTTTTACTACATCACACATCCTTTTCTCTTATTTTAGAGTAGACATTTCTCTTTCCAAGCAATAATCCATTTCTAGGTGACAAAGTCATGTGAGCACATGGAAGCAAGGAAAAAAATTAATGGTGATCTAAAACATTAAACTGCTTTTATGAAACATTTTGATGAACACCAGCAAGAGACAGAGTGTAATTATTGTGGCCATTAGGCTGTTATTTATGTTAAATTTGTTGCTCTTGTTGGCTTCAGAAGTGTTTAAGGACTACAGCACTCTTGGGACTCCATCAAATGCACTGGCATGTGCAACAAGTAAGAGAGTGAGGCAATAGCTACTGCATTTACAACATGAAAATATTTAATAATTGCATGGGAAAATGAGAGAAACAGGGCACTAAGGACAACGGCATAAATGCAATACAAAGAAAATATTGTGTAGAAAATCAAAGGCAGTGTTGGCATACATTTTCCAGTCCCCTGTTGTTATTTAATATCAAGTTAATTTCTTCAGTTATAAAAGTGTTAAGAAAATGAAGCCCTGAAATACAGTGCCATGAACAAATGAGACTTGCAGGAATAAATGAAGAATATAGCCTAGAAGATCCTGTTCCTGTCTCTCACTGTGCTCACGTTCTCACAAACTGATTTAGTCACTTGCAGTTCAAACTGAGAATCCGTTTCTCTGACAGCAGCATCTGGTTTCAGGCAGCACAAACCAGCAACTCCTTCAGTGCTACAGAACTGAGGAGGAAAAGTACCAAAACAAATGCTGTCCTTGTTACATTTCCAGAAAAAGGGGAAGGAAATTGCCAAGCAAATTATCCGTTATATAACTGAAACACTTTTGGTGATAAAGCAGGAAATGTTCATTACGGTTCTACTCAGAGATGGCCAAGCTTTGTCTGTGATTATTTTGTATTTGACTGAATCAGTGGCTTCATTCCTGCCACAGGAACAGAGCACAGTAACGGAATGGGAATAACAAACATTTCTACCCCGAAATATAAACATGAATAGAATACTGTAAGAGGATCATGACACGCATTACTGTCACACCAGACCATCTTGCCTGATGTCTCCCCAGCAGCTGTGGATGGAGGGAAGCACTGCCAGTGGTGTTCTGCACAGGAGGAAAACCCAATAAATCCTCATCTCCAGGCCCATCCCAGCGGGCACAGTGCCAGTCCCGCAGCAACAAGGGCAAGAACAGGAATCCAGACCCTGACCTTGTGGCTGCTCCTGCTCTCCATCACCCCTGCACAGCAGAGAGCCCATTCTGGGTAAGGTGAGAAACAGCCCTAAGCCAAGGAAACACTCGGCAAATGCAGGACTCCTGAACCTCACCCTCCTGTTTCGTTCACCTCATTACACGGGGAACTCCCAAAAATAAAATCAGGAGCTCCCAGGGCAGGAGTAAAGGATGGCACAGATTAGGATGCATCTCCCAGACTCAGCCAGGAAGGGTTTCCCCAGTCCCATTTCTGATCACTGCTTCATTCCCACAGCATTTTCTCTTTGCTTGTTTGGTCACCTGCTTGCCAGGAGAGGGCTGGGGGATCTGTGCTTCAAAGGGAACAGCAGCAGTGCTGTGCAGATGCTACAGGCAGTAACCCATCTAATCATCTCCTGGGTCTGGATTTAGAGTGGTACAGAATTATCACTGCCTCAGAAGGAAATCAGAAGAACTGGGGAGAACTTTCTAATTGCTTCACCATTAATCTGGAACACTGTCGCCAGCCCGTAATAAGCAAGGCACGAGAACTTCAAATCGTATTTGACAGATGGGCTTAATTAGTTATTCCCAGACAGAATCATAATATTTGCTGTTAATATTCATCTGAAAACACCCTGCTGGCTGTGATAATATTTATATGTTAATCCTGTTACGATAAGCTGCCGCTGCCAGAACCTCTCCAAACAAAATGACGGATATATTTCAAACCCCGAGCTGGGAAGGCTCTGGCATTCTGCTCTGGGTTGTCACTTGCACAAGTGCCTCCTTAAGCCGTGAAATTACACTTGTCACACTGAGTTAGCTTTATTAACACTATTTTCTGATCCATGTAAAACTATCAGGAACACAAAGGTACTGAATCTGCAGTTAATTAACATTGCCACCTTTGCATCCATGTGATCAGACCTCTGCTTTTTAGGAGAAATTAAACAATATGCAAATAGAGTTTCTGTAATTTCTAAATGAACGACGGAGGCCAAAAAATTGGTAAAGGACCTCATTACTTAACTGTGACCCAGTGTGCCTATTTGGTGACATCAAACACTTCTAGATAAGGATAAAATCATTTCCCAAAATCTGTAGAGCACATGTAATGTGCTCTTTCCCCACGTAATGCTTGATCTTGCTTCTTCAAACGCAGAGTTAAACAGAGCCAACTAAATGTAATGAGGAAAACAATACACTGGGTAATGAATTGCAAACACTTTGCACTCGTTACAAAGAGGGAGGAAGAAGTTCTCAAAAGTGAGAAAACCAGAAAATCTCAGCTGGGAACTCGATGGAGCAAATCAAACCAGGAGTCACAGGAGAGGTACACGGACACCTTTTCCTCCCTGGTTTTCTTTCCAGCAACATCTGTGTACAACCCCAGATTTCTTTCAATAAACATCCAGCAATGTTTATACCCAGCCTGTGCAAGCACACAGAATCCACAACCACTGCATGAAAGATGACATAATAATTTATTTTTTGTGTACCAGGGGTCATTTTAAAGGATTGCCACCAGATGATGAATAGTGAAGGGAAGTTAAGTTGCCAAGATTCAATTTCCCCATGAGGCTGCTTTACATTTTCCTGCTGAGAAACAGAAATCAGGCAAATGCACTCCATGGGCCCAACAAGATAAAGTGTGATGGAAAACTCATTGCTGAAATAATCTCTGGTTTTGATCCAGTGCCCATTTCTGTCAATGAAAATATTCATCCATTTTCCAGTAGCTTTGAAGGGGGATTTTAAGGAATCTGACAGACTGTGCCCAGCACAGGGAGCTCCCACCTTGGCATACACACACATTTCTGCTTTGCCCAATGCCATTCAGCCAGATACATGACAATATTTGCTTTAACTGAGGAAAATTCAGCATCTTTAGCAAAGGAACTGTGTAGAATCTGAGCAGCACATTATATAAAAATGTATTCATTAAACCAAAGAGTTGTGATTAAAAAAGGAACATCCACCTGCTAGATGAAGGCATTTTAAGACACATCAATGTTGCAGAATGGGAATGGCAAACAGAAAATCTATTTCTTCTGCAGATCAAAAATTCATATAAATCTCACCCTCAACATCATTTTCATATAGTCACAAAAGAGCAAAACAGAAATAAGAAAAAAAACCCAACAAAGAAAGGAAAGGGACACAATCCACCAAGAAAACCTCAAGCAAAATTAATAAACCAAACCAAAAAAATCCACCACAAACAGCCATATGAAGGTAATTTTAAAAAAAATTAAACTATTCACAGTCAAGCTCGAAGATATGAAACAAGTTCTTCCAAATCATTTGTGACAACAGCATTTTCTGTTAGTTTTCACTTCCTTTGAGCACTAGGACTGAGTAACGTTTGTGTGGTGGACTGACCAATGAGTAAAAACAATGACAGCCACAGCTTTTCCAAAAGCATTTCCTCATGCACCATAGGAAAATGTATTAAAATCATTAAAATGTATTGAAAGCAGCCATGACCTACCTGTTCTCAGCAGCAGATTTCCTCTGGCACACAACCACAGCTGGTGCATACTTGCCAGTGTAATCCACACTCTCCCTGATGTCCCACAGGTAGGGGCTGCTGGCTCTCACACTGAAAACGTTCACACCTCTCTTCACCTTGGCCCTGGAACACAAGGAGATATTGCACCAATCAGACAAGAAACGCCAGCTCAATCTGCTCCTTATTCCATCATTGTGTTCTCATTACTGCCCCACAGAAAATGCCACCACTCATTAAGAGTTCAACAGCAGGACGAGGAAAGGAGATGAGAGAATTAATTAAGACATTCATATTTTGAAGAAAGTGTATCAAGACAGAATCTGACTGAACTAATGGTAATTACAGCTCCAGTCCCAGCTGGATTGATGGTGGGTGTGCTCTGGCACAGGCTCCTCACTCCTGCCCTTCCCTTACCCACACTCTGGGCACGTTGGGGCTCCCTCCTGGCTGCAAGGTGTTGCATTGGCACAGAAAGTACCAGTTTTTGTGGAAAAAGAAAGGAGTTGGGTGCTGGAATGAAGAGCCATTGCTAAGCCTCATTACAAGCAAAATCCACCCTTTCTCTCCTCCCTCTCTGGATTACTCTAAGATGACAATCCTTATCTTTGCTCTCATTTTCATCATCTTTTTGAGTTCACAACATTTTCTTTTAGTACTGTTGTGTTTCATTGTCCTGTCGGCTCTGAACTTAAAAACACTTATTTTAAAAAATTCTGATTTTTCCTAAAGCAACTGATTTTTGGGGAGCTCTGTTTCCATGCATGAGAGGTTCAACAACAGGAAAAGCCATGTGGCAAACTGGGCTGGCTCCTATGGAGAGGTGGTGCTTTCTAGTTCTCAGTGCTAGTAAAATACTTCTGGGGCTGCATGGTGAAAGAACAACCAGAATAAAAAGTTATTAACTACAAGTGGAGAAGAGGGACTTTATATAGAGAGAGATGCACTTTCAAATATCTGTTTCAATTCCTCTCATCAGGTGTGGCATTCTTTAATTCTGTCTCTCTCTTTTCCAGAATTTGTACCTCAGGCCACTACAGGATTACCCCTCAGGTATAAATGTAATGTTGGCCAAATTACTGAACGAGGAGTCCCCGGTGCTGGTAACTTCTGGTTCCTGAATGCGTTTACAAGAAGTCCATGGTGGTCAAGCCTCCTGAGGTGTCAGGAAATGAGAGTTTAATTACATTTGCTAAAACTCTCATGCACAAAATGCACTCAGTGCCATGGCAAGTTCTCCGTTCTGGGCAGAAACCCCAAAAGGTACGTGAGGCTTTTGTCTGAGCAGCTGCTGCCAGCAGAGCAGCAAACAGCAGCAAACAGCACTGTCAGCTCTGCCCCCGCACGAAATTGCTCAGGAAATCTTTGAAGGACAAGATCCACACAGATGTTTTCAGAACAAAAAGCCAAAGGATTCCTTCAACTGTCTTGAACAAAAAGGATTAAATCTCCTTTCTCCAGCACTAACTCAATAGCAGTGGCTGCAATTTCCTTAGCACACCTGGAAGAATAAATACGAGGAGGCTGCCAATTTCTGTGCAAGTTCTCCTATGCTAATTTGACAAAATGAATTTTAAGCAGGTGCAGTCAGTGCTGCTAGAGCAGACATCCCTCAGGACAAGAGATCAGCGGTCACAGCAGAGTGGAAATTAAACGCCATTTCCGATGTCTCGGAGAGGGAGGTACAAGGGGCCACCCAGCCTGGGTGAAACATTCCCCAGCACAGGTCTGCAGCCGCTCCTGGCGACTGGCAGCTGGTCCTGCCCTCCTGCTCCACCTGGAGGAAGGGAAACTGCTGGGGACCAGCCCAGAGCAGGGACAGAGAAATGATCCCATCCCCAGGGAGACTGGGGTGGTCAATCACAGTCAGCTGCCTTGGACTCTGTATGAGCCACAAACCTTTGTTATCATTCTTTCTTTTTCCATTCCTAGCTAGCCTTCTGATGGAATCCTTTCTTCTATTCTTTTAGTATAGTTTTATTGTAATATATATTATAAAATAATAAATCAGCCTCCTGGAACATGGAGTCAGCTCCTCATCTCTTCCCTCATGCTCAGAGCCCTGTGAACGCTGTCACACACCCAGGCTGGGCTGCAGCAGGAGTGCTTGCAGTGTTCTGTGCCCATCACTTCACTTTGGGCAGAGTCGGCTCGGTGGAGAGGAGGAAAGGAAGGCCATAAACATTTGAATTGTGGCTGGTTTGGGGTTGCTGTTTCTTTTCAAACCAGGAGCCCATGCAGCTAAGCACCTTCCTGGCTGTTATTTACCTCTGGATCACTGCTCACATCAGTTTCCCAGCTCCTGAGCAGCTCACCCCTTGCACCAAATCAATCATGGCAAACAAAGCCCCTGGGAGTCCACATCCCTAAAAACTCGTCAATGCTGACAGGGTACAAATCAAGGGAATGGAGAAGCAAAGAAAAGCACAGAAGGAACTCCCAGAATCAATACATCACAACTGAAATCAAGGAAATGCATTACCTAAGTGCATAAAGATAGTGATTCCCAATTCCATCCCTGACCCACTGAACACTCTGTTTACTCTAGTGATGGAAGAGGCTGCAACTGCAATTAAAATGCAGGCAGCATCCTCTCTCATTTATCACAGGGGCTGCTTTAGCACCTCCAGTCTCTGCAGTTTACAACCATTAGGGCTCAGCTTTCAGCTTGTGTCATTCCTGCATGTGGACACCCTGCCCAGGATGGGCACAGACACCCTGCCCAGGATGGGCTCCCCTCCCCATCTCACTCTGGCAGTGCCCTGCTCACAGCACACAAGTATCACCACCCTTTTCACACACAGCACAAACAAACAGGCAGTCCAAGCCCTAAAGAGCACACAAGTATCATCCCCTTTTCACACACAGCACAAACAAACAGGCAGTCCAAGCCCCAAAGAACACACAAGTATCATCCCCTTTTCACACACAGCACAAACAAACAGGCAGTCCAAGCCCCAAAGAACACACAAGTATCATCCCCCTTTCCAGCACAGCACAAACAAACAGGCAATCCGAGCCCTAAACAGCTCTAAATAAAGATGCTTCAGACTCGTGACATTGAAGTTAGCTTTTCATTACTGTAAGTGCTCGGGGCAAAGATCTGTGGGAACCTTTCATGGTCCTTCTGAGAAAGAGAGCTACTTTCTACATCAAAGGAGAAAAAGAAAAGGGAGCCTGTTAACACCCTGCTACCGCTGGTTGTCATCTTGTCACCAGCAGCGAGGAGAAGGTGGCAGATAAATTGTGTGAGAGGGAGCACTTCTGAGAGCTCCTGGGCACCCACCAGACATCACAGTGGCCTCTGAGATTGCCTTGTCACTGCATCTCCCCAAGGCATTTCACAAATAACTGGAAGGGGCTTCTATTTCTGTTTATCTCCAGTGTTTCTTCGTGCCCAGAGCCTGACCCTGACCCAGCCATGGAGAGGAGCAGAGCAGAGCAGGATGGCAGCCTTCCCCTGCCAACATCCACCTCCTTTGGGCAGCAGGGATGGCAGCAGCAGGGCTGGGGACAGGCTTTCCCCCACCACCCCCTTCAGACCAAACACAAGCCAAATGGGAGCAGAAACGGGCCTGAGCACAGCTCCTCGTGGCATGAAACAAAGGAACAGGTCCGTTTGCACTCACTGGGAAGTCAAAGGCACTGATGTAAGCCAGCAGCAGAACAGTCCCTGCTCAAACCCTGCAGGCATTCCAGCCCTACATATCTCACTGCCCAGAGCCCATTCTTGCTGGGGACAATGCCGTGGGTGGCTCCTTCTGGTGACATCCCCTCTGCATCCAAGAGCAAACTCCTGGAGCTGGGAACACCTTATCTTGTTTGTACTGCCCGAGCCTGCAAGGGGCTAAGGGCAAACCCAGCCACCAAGCAGGAGCTGCAGACTCCTCAGGGCCTTCTGAAGACCAGAATTAAATGTCATGCTTGAAGTCAGGGACTGTGGGGCCAGGTGCCACCATGGGATGTAAAATCCAGCCAGCAGCTGTGGCATGACTAAGCTGTAGATGCACTCACAGAGTTCCCTGGGAGCTGTCTCTGGCTGGCAAGAAGTGCAGAATGATCCCGTTAATGCTGTGCTACATTAAATGCAGACATCTCTGCAGGATCTGAGGTCAGGCTGGAGCTGTATGTTGCTTAAATGAGGCCCTTTTGATACCAGAACACTTCTACTGACATTTACATCCTGATGTTTCACTGCCTGCACACCACCTCCTCCCCTCCCTGAGGCCTCCGTGCTCAAACAAACATATTCAAATGCACAAAACAATGGAAAACAGCAACCAATGTTCTGGCTTTATTTCAGGACAGAGTTTCTTTTAAACCCTGGAGTACCAGAATTGAAGGCAATATGAGCTAGCAGGTTTGTGGATGCCAGAGAAGCTGGCAAACTCATGAACAGCACTGGAATGGGAATGAGAAATGTTACAGAGCCTACCAGACTGAACAGCAGTGAGAGGGCAAAGCATGAGGCCAAGATTCACCCTGAAACAAAACCCTGAGGTAATCCAGCCCTTTGTCTGTCCAGTCTCCCACCCTTGGGCCAGAATCTATTCCCATTTGAGAAGCCCTCAGTAGATGAGACCACACTAAACATTCCACAGCACAGAGAGGGCTGGCTGGAATTTGTGTTCCCAGCATTTTCAATTTTGTGTACAGCATTGGGGTAATGCTAAATTTATGCACTTTGAGGTCATCCTCTTCTTTTGTCTCCCTCTGCAGTTTCATTGCTTTTTATGGCTGAAGCTAACGTAGGACAGAATTTGAGCCTGAACGAGGCTCTTTGAACATCAGTCAAAAATAAAACGTGGCTGTCATTGAGAAAACAGGCACAACTCACCCATCTTTGTCAGACCTAAGGCATGTTTGCTGGGAGCACATGAAAACCAAGCATACAAAGGCTTCCTGGATGTGTATCTACCACAAACCCCTGAAGAAATTTAGACCATTAAACCCAAAAACTATTTCCCCATCAGGAACAAACCTTTAAAGCTAAAATTCTTTGAATGGAAGAAATTGTGTTTGAGGAGAGCCCAATTAAACCAACTGTTCTAGGACTGGCTGAAGTGAATTGCACCTTTCTCAGTTCAGCAGGAAAGGGAGATCACAACAAACAAGTCATGTAGTAA